GGGTAGGCAGGGGTCTGATTATAGTGTGCACTGAAGCAGCCAAAACCTGAACCGAACCGAAGCGAACTGAACCGAACAGACCCTCCAATAGGCACTATCTATACCCACCGGTGTTCTGTCCCTACCCTCCCTCCACATACTTCCCAGACTCGATCGACTTACCCGTGTTTTTCCCCCATGGTCCGAAGAACGTGCTGTTGGCTCCCACAGTGTCCCGGTATACGTACTCACACAACCGCTCACGTGACCTGCGTTTCAGCTCCTCGGGAGTGAGGTTCTCCAAGTCCTCCTGCTCCACCTTAAACTTCCTCCCTTTCCCGCGAGAGGAGGAAGAAGAGGGCAGCGTTGGGCTGGGGGAGGGAGACAGGTTCTCCCAGAATTGAAATTGGCTGGGAGACTTGCTCTCGAACTTGCTCTCGTGTTTCTTAGACTTTGAGCTACGCTCCTTCCGTGAATATTTGGGCGAGGTCTGCTCGACTTGGCTACCGAAATGATCCCAGTTGTGGTAGTAGTGGTGGTGGTGGTGGTGGTGTTCTTGGGGGCTGGGTGGGGGGCTGCTAGAGGTGGAGGATTTGCGGTCTTTGTAGGAGACAGAGCCTGTGTGACGTGGGTTAGTTTTAGTAAGAGTTTTACGGCACTTGCAACACAAATAGGTCATGAATATAGGTGCCGAAGATTAGAATTGTGTTACAAGAGAGAAGCATACATAGAACACAGAAAGAAGGCGAGATAAGGACGATAAAAAGTTGATAATAACGAACAACAGTAGCAAACCACACCAGAGCGCCCGCCAACCACCCACCAACGTGCGATGTAGTGATGCGCTCGTGAGAGTTAAGTACCGTATCGGGGATCCATAAGTGGGGTGCACATTTGTTCGTCTAATCGATTGTAAATGATCGTTTCGGGATGAAGCATCAACATGGTCAATTCTCATATACCAAACATAATTGAATCAGAGTGTATTAAGTCCCAAGAGATTTATTCTCGGTCTGACCTTTGACATCGGCAAGTCTTCATCTTCAGTAACTTCTCTTAATGCTCTTTGAATATAGTAGTAAAGGAGACGGGCAAAATGCATTACTTTTTTAATGCAACATTCCCTTCATGAAACAAATAACGATCTATGGTCTAGAGGAGCTGCTTGTTAACATAATATACGTTGCATATAATTATCTCAATATAAACATTAGTAACACCTCAGATCTCAAAAAGAAAAAAAAAAGCTCTGTCCGTTCCTAGCTTTTCTGACTGCAAAACTCATAGGCTGTTTCAGATGAAAATCAGGCCTGGCCAATCAAGAAAAGACACACTTGTTAAGGGGAGATCAAACTGGTTGCGGTCAAGGCAAAAGCGGAAAAGGTAGACAGAAATACCAAGAGCTAAAAAGACGGGAATATGGAGTTATATTTGCACCCACTAACCTTTCATAGTTTGGATAGAAAAAAACCTTGTAACAAAATAACATGTTGATTATTGGATAAATCGTACGAATTTCCACGTATTAATATTGTTTTATATTATACTCTTGTCAAATTGTTGCCTCTCAAGGAACTCTTGTAGGCAGAAGTTATAGCAAAAAGTAGCGCATTGAGCTACTTTTTTGGAAATGCGTCATATAAATGTTATATACTATTATTATTCTTAAAAGTAACCTTATGAACGTGTGTACTGAATGGTTATGATTTCGAGTTGCACACAGAGGTTTTGAGTTCGATTCCCCCCTCGTCCCGCCTATCTTGGAAGGTATTTTATTGGGTATTTATTTCTTATGTTTTGCGTTGATTGTGATTTTCAGGTCAGCGGGTCACCGCATCAGCATATACTGCTGCTTCTGGAGGACCAACGCAAGGGAGGGTGGAGGGATGGACAGAGATGGGAGAATAAGAGAGGGGGAGAATGATAGATGAGCATATTCGTAGACAGATAGTAGAGAAAGGTTTTTCAGATACGTATAAGTAAGTGAGCATAACGGGAAAGGGGATCGAGAAAGAGAGAGAGAGAGAGAGAGAGAGAGAGAGAGAGAGAGAGAGAGAGAGAGAGAGAGAGAGAGAGAGAAGGGGGACTAGACGAAAAAGTGAGGCAGA